GCCACTTCTGGCTTTTTTTCTTTTTGCTTATGTGGTGCTGAGGAATCAAACCCAGGGCCTCAGGCATGCAAGGCAAGCGCTCTACCACTGAGCCATCTTCCCGGCCCCCAGCCTTTGATTTTCAACTGTCACTGTCCACATTACATTGAGCAAATACCCAACATCTTTCACAAGTTCAGGGACACATAGAAAGTAGAAGGAGAAAATAATAAATGTGACACTGTTATGTCCTTTTGTTTTGTTTTGTTTTTGTTGGTCATGGGGCTTGAACTCAGGGCCTGGGTGCTATCGCTGAGCTTTTGCACTCAAGGCTAGTCTCTATTACTTTGAGCCACAGTATCACTTTAGGTTTTCTGGTGGTTAATTGGAGATGAGAGTCTCATGGACTTTGGAAGCTAGGGACTTAGAAGTGCAGTCCTCGGATCTCAGCCTCCTGAGTAGCTAGAATTACAGACGTGAGCCACTGGTGCTTGGCTTGAACTTATGTTTTTTTTTTTGTTTGTTTGCTTTGTTTTTGGGTCTGGTCGTGGGGCCTCAACTCTGGGCCCAGCGCTGTCCCTCAGCTCTTCAGCTCAAGGCTAGCGCTCTACCACTTGAGCCCACAGCGCCACTTCTGGCTTTTTTTTCTGCTTATGTGATGCTAAGGAATCGAACCCAGGGCCTCATTCATGCAAGGCAAGCACTCTACCACTGAGCCACCTTCCCAGCCCAAGAGACATGTTTTAATTCTGCTAACACCTGTAGTTCTTAGAACTACTTAACCACAGAACATATTTCAGAAAGCACTGATCCATACCATCATCAACCTAATGGTATCATTATCCTAATGTTTTGGCCTTGGAAAGTCTATTCTTATACTCAAGACAAGAAATTTAAGACACTTCATATCTCTTTACTTTATCTGACAAAAAATTTACTGAGTGCCAAAACTCAATGCCTGGTATTGGTCTAGATGCTGAGAGATCAACAAAATAAGACAAAAATTCCTGCCCTCAGGGAGCTTATAGCACAGTCCAACTAAAGACAATTTTAAAATTAAAACTGAAATTCCTAACTTCTTATTTCCCAACTTGTCCTTTATCCTGTAGTTGCCTTCAGGTTCCTCTGTATAAACAAGGTCCTCTAGGGTCAAATCACCCAGCCCTCAGAAAGGCAGACCTGCCTCTTCTAATGCCCAAGTTTTGCCTCGAGTAGAAGTTTTCCCCACAAATATGTTCGTGAAAAAGCATTCATTATAAATAATGAAGACTTTCCTCAGATTGGCTGGTGTATTTGTACAGTGCTCATACTGTGGCAATCAGGAGCATTTTATAGTTCTTCACTTTTCCTGAAGCAAAGCCAAACCTTTATACTTGGGTGAGCCATTTTCCTGGACAAATCTATAAAGCAAGTCCCAGAAGACCATCACATAGAGACTGGAAATAACAACTG